AGTCCGAACTGGAAACGCCCTCACCTCATGTAAGGCCGAGCTGGAACCGCCCTCACCTCATGTATGGCCGAGCTGGAACCGCCCTCACCTCATGTATGGTCAAGCTGGAACCGCCCTCACCTCATATATGGCCGAACTGGAACCGCCCTCACCTAATGTATGGACGAGCTGGAACCGCCTTCACCTCATGTATGGCCGAGCTGGAACTGCCCTCACCTCATATATGGCCAAGCTGGAACCGCCCTCACCTCATGTAATCCGAACTTGAACCGCCCTCACCTCATGTAAGTCCGAACTGGAAACGCCCTCACCTCATGTAAGGCCGAGCTGGAACCGCCCTCACCTCATGTATGGCCGAGCTGGAACAGCCCTCACCTCATGTATGGTCAAGCTGGAACCGCCCTCACCTCATATATGGCCGAACTGGAACCGCCCTCACCTAATGTATGGACGAGCTGGAACCGCCTTCACCTCATGTATGGCCGAGCTGGAACCGCCCTCACCTTATGTAAGTCCGAACTTGAACCGCCCTCACCTCATGTAAGGCCGAGCTGGAACTGCCCTCACCTCATGTAAGTCCGAACTTGAACCGCCCTCACCTCATGTAAGGCCGAGCTGGAACCGCCCTCACCTCATGTAAGTCCGAACTTGAACCGCCCTCACCTCATGTAAGGCCGAGCTGGAACCGCCCTCACCTCATGTAAGGCCGAACTTGAACCGCCCTCACCTCATGTAAGGCAGAGCTGGAACCGCCCTCACCTCATGTAAGTCCGAACTTGAACCGCCCTCACCTCATGTAAGGCCGAGCTGGAACAACCCTCACCTCATGTAAGTCCGAACTTGAACCGCCCTCACCTCATGTAAGGCAGAGCTGGAACCGCCCTCACCTCATGTAAGTCCGAACTTGAACCGCCCTGACCTTATGTAAGTCCGAACTTGAACCGCCCTCACCTCATGTAAGGCCGAGCTGGAACCGCCCTCACCTCATGTAAGTCCGAACTTGAACCGCCCTCACCTCATGTAAGGCAGAGCTGGAACCGCCCTCACCTCATGTAAGTCTGAACTTGAACCGCCCTCAACTCACGTATGGCCGAGATGGAACCGGCCTTACCTCAGTTATGGCCGAGCTTGAACCGCCCTCACCTCAAGTATGGTCAAGCTGGAACCGCCCTCACCTCATGTATGGCCGAGCTGGAACCGCCCTCACCTTATGCATGGCCGAGCTGGAACCGCACTCACCTCATGCATGGCCGAGCTCGAACCGACCTCACCTCATGTTAGTCTAAACTGGAACCGCCCTCACCTTATGCATGGCCGAGCTGGAACCGCCCTCACCTCACGTATGGCTGAGCTCGAACCGACCTCACCTCATGTATGGCCGAGCTGGAACCGCCCTCACATCATGTAAGGCCCAGCTGGAGCCCCTCACCTCATGTATGGTCAAGCTGGAACCGCCCTCACCTCATGTATGGCCGAGCTGGAGCCCCTCACCTCATGTATGGCCGAACTTGAACCGCCCTCACATCATGTAAGGCCGAGCTGGAACCGCCCTCACCTCATGTAATCCGAACTTGAACCGCCCTCACCTCATGTAAGTCCGAACTGGAAACGCCCTCACCTCATGTAAGGCCGAGCTGGAACCGCCCTCACCTCATGTATGGCCGAGCTGGAACCGCCCTCACCTCATGTATGGTCAAGCTGGAACCGCCCTCACCTCATATATGGCCGAACTGGAACCGCCCTCACCTAATGTATGGACGAGCTGGAACCGCCTTCACCTCATGTATGGCCGAGCTGGAACTGCCCTCACCTCATATATGGCCAAGCTGGAACCGCCCTCACCTCATGTATGGTCAAGCTGGAACCGCCCTCACCTCATGTATGGCCGAGCTGGAACCGCCCTCACCTTATGCATGGCCGAGCTGGAACTGCCCTCACCTCATGCATGGCCGAGCTCGAACCGACCTCACCTCATGTTAGTCTAAACTGGAACTGCCCTCACCTCATGTATAGTCAAGCTGGAACCGCCCTCACCTAATATATGGCCGAGCTGGAACCGCCCTCACCTCATGTATGGCCGAGCTGGAACCGCCCTCACCTCATGTATGGCCGAGCCGGAACCGCCCTCACCTCATGTAAGTCCGAACTTGAACCGCCCACACCTCATGTATGGCCGAGCTGGAACCGCCCTCACCTCATGTAAGTCTGAAATGGAACCGCCCTCACCTTATGTATGGCCGAGCTGGAACCGCCCTCACCTCATGCATGGCCGAGCTCGAACTGCCCTCACCTCATGTAAGTCTAAACTGGAACCGCCCTTATCTTATGTATGGCAGAGCTCGAACCGCCCTCACCTCATGTATGGCCGAGCTGGAACTGCCCTCACATCATGTAAGCCCCAGCTGGAGCCCCTCACCTCATGTATGGTCAAGCTGGAACCGCCCTCACCTCATGTATGGCCGAGCTGGAGTCCCTCACCTCATGTATGACCGAAATTGAACCGCCCTCACATCATGTAAGGCCGAGCTGGAACCGCCCTCACCTCATGTAATCCGAACTTGAACCGCCCTCACCTCATGTAAGTCCGAACTGGAACCGCCCTCACCTCATGTATGGCCGAGCTGGAACCGCCCTCACCTCATGTATGGTCAAGCTGGAACCGCCCTCACCTCATATATGGCCGAACTGGAACCGCCCTCACCTAATGTATGGCCGAGCTGGAACCGCCCTCACCTCATGTAAGTCTGAACTGGAACCGCCCTTACCTCATGTAAGGCCGAGCTAGATCCGCCCTCACCTCATGTGTGGCCGAGCTGGAACCGCCCTCACCTCATGTAAGTCTGAAATGGAACCGCCCTCACCTCATGTAAGTCTGAACTGGATCCGCCTTCACCTCATGTATGGCCGAGCTGGAACCGCCCTCACCTCATGTATGGCCGAGCTGGGACCTCCCTCACCTCATGTAAGTCTTAACTGGAACCGCCCTCACCTAATGTAAGGCCGAGTTGGATCCGCCCTCACCTCATGTATGGCCGAGCTGGAACCGCCCTCACCTCATGTATGGCCGAGCTGGAACCGCCCTCACCTCATGCATGGCCGAGCTTGAACCGCCCTCACCTCACGTATGGCCGACCTGGAACCGCCCTCACCTTATCTATGGCCGAGCTGGACTGACCACACCTCATGTATTGCCGAGCTGGAACCGCCCTCACCTCATGTATTGCCGAGCTGGAACTGCCCTCACCTCATGTATCGCCGAGCTGGAACTGCCGTCACCTCATGCACGGCCGATCTGGAACCGCCCTCACCTCATGTAAGTCTGAACTGGAACCGCCCTCACCTCATGTAAGGCCGAGCTGGAACCGCCCTCACTTCATGTATGGCCGAGCTGGAACCGCCCTCACCTCATGCACGGCCGAGCTGGAACCATCCTCACCTCATGTATGGCCGAGCTCGAACCGCCCTCACCTCATGTATGGCCGAGCTGGAACTGCCCACACTTCATGTATGTCTAAACTGGAACCGCTCTCATGTTATGTATGGCCGAGCTGGAACCGCCCTCACCTCACGTATGGCCGAGCTGGAACCGCCCTCACCTTATGTATGGCCGAGCTGGAACCGCCCTCACCTCATGTATGGCCGAGCTGGAACCGCCCTCACCTCATGTATGGCCAAGCTGGAACCGCCCTCACCTCATGTATGGCCGAGCTGGTACCGCCCTCACCTCATGTATGGCCGAGCTGGAACCGCCCTCACCTCACGTATGGCCGAGCTGGAACCCTACCTCATGTATGGCCGAGCTGGAACTGCCCTCACCTCATGTAAGTCTGAACTGGAAACGCCCTCACCTCATGTATGGCCGAGCTGGAACCGCCCTCACCTCATGTATGGCCGAGCTGGAACCGCCCTCACCTCATATATGGCCGAGCTCGAACCGCCCTCACCTCATGTAAGTCTGAACTGGAACCTCCCTCACCTCATGTATGGCCGAGCTTGAACCGCCCTCACCTCATGTATGGCCGAGCTGGAACCGCCCTCACCTCATGTATGGCCGAGCTGGAACTGCCCTCACCTCATGTAAGTCTGAACTGGAAACGCCCTCACCTCATGTATGGCCGAGCTGGAACCGCCCTCACCTCATGTATGGCCGAGCTGGAACCGCCCTCACCTCATGTATGGCCGAGCTCGAACCGCCCTCACCTCATGTAAGTCTGAACTGGAACCTCCCTCACCTCATGTAAGGCCGAGCTGGAACCGCCCTCACCTCATATAAGGCCGAGCTGGAACCGCCCTCACCTCATGTAAGTCTGAACTGGAACCGCCCTCACCTCATGTAAGTCTGAACTGGAACCGCCCTCACCTCATGTAAGTCTGCACTGGAACCGCCCTCACCTCATGTAAGGCCGAGCTGGAACCTCCCTTACCTCATATATCTTTTATTAACACGTTTTCACTTATCATACGCCTGGCAATATTTCCGGAACATGTTTTTAAAACATTTTCGTGGGGTATGGTCATGCGATAACGTTTGGCCTAGCGTATTTTATCCTTCTAAGACAACGTTATTCCACGTCGTCGCGACAACGTCCATGGTAGTAACACTGCCACAACGTAAAATACAACATTACCAAGACATAAAATACAACGTAACCACAACGTAAAAGCATAACGTTCCCCTTTCCCGTTCCATAACCTTATCACGACGTTGTGACAACGTGAAAATGACGTATCACAACGTTGTGACAACATGAATGGGAGTCCACAGAATAACGTTGCAGGGACGTTATATCACAATATTGTATGTATGTCTGACATATCTTTGCTAAACCCGTTTTCACTTATGGTGCGTCCGGTAAAAACCATTTTTTTCAAGTGCTCTCAATATTTTAGTGTTTTCTGGAGATCATGCAAACAGTTTTTATGGCGTACTCAACACACTGATAGTTCCTGGTACTTCCCTTCAGAGCGAAGATGTTAGAACATTACAACATGACATGGAGATGCTTTTCAGGATTTATTACTCTTGCTTGTGTAGATATAGAGATATATGGAACGTAACCTATGGCTAGAAATGTCCGGCGGCTTCCTTGTCGATGGAACATCCTCTGAACATAAAACAAAATACAAAGTTTAGTACACAAGCATTCCTATGAGAATCACTTGATATGAAAGGCCCTTTCAAAACATTAACAAACACTTTTATCTTAGGGTTACCACAAACAATCTGCATCTGCACCTATTCTATTTGTATGCATAGGTCTAGGGTAATGCATTGTTGCTTTGTTAATGAGCAGATGGTTTTAGTAGTATTACAAAATACCTCAATTTTGAATATTTTATGCATTAAGGTTGAGCTCAGAATTTGCAGGATATTAGTTTTAGCTTTGATGTGATTGTAGTGTTTCTTCTTGTGCCTACTCTTTCTTATTCTAATCTCATTGACATTTATCTTGAACACTACCATGGATTACATACCCAGAACATTCTTCGAGAGTTAAACCTTTAACGATAAATCACGATTAAGACATAAGGTAACCGAATCTTAAAATCGAACGTGACATTGAATTGTATTCCATTGGAATTTCAGCGGAATTTTTTCAGCCAATAAAAGTGCCTGAGTGAAATTTATTCTCTGCAAGTACTTCATGCGGTATAGATAGAGACGTTGTCCTGCAAGTACTTCGTGCGGTATATATAGAGACGTTGTCCTGCAAGTACTTCATGCGGTATAGATAGAGACGTTGTCCTGCAAGTACTTCATGCGGTATAGATAGAGAGGTTGTCCTGCAAGTACTTCATGCGGTATAGATAGAGACGTTGTCCTGCAAGTACTTCATGCGGTATAGATAGAGACGTTGTCCTGCAAGTACTTCATGCGGTATAGATAGAGACGTTGTCCTGCAAGTACTTCATGCGGTATAGATAGAGACGTTGTCCTGCAAGTACTTCATGCGGTATAGATAGAGACGTTGTCCTGTGTAAAACACGGCCTAATGATACAGACACCAATGTACGGTAATCACAACTTGGAGCTGGATTTAATTAAGTTTACCTTTAGCTCATGTAGTCATTGAGGAATGCGATGGACGGAAAATCTGCATAGACATAGTTCACGACGTTTGTCACTGTGCCATTCAGAGGGTCCACGAACTCCACCACGCTGTAACAATGAAACCATTCATCATTGCCGTGTGGTCTAAGATCACAAAATGGTGAAAGTCTAAGGCCTTGGCATTGTTGAACGTCTCGTCTGTGCATTCCAATGATGACGGAGCCATGGTTACAGGTGAGGTGAAATGGGGTTTAACGTCGCGTCCAAAATTATCGCACTTATATAGCGACGTGCCATGCTTACAAACAAGGTGAAATGAAATGAGGTTTAACGTTGCTTTCAAGATAAGTGCAGACGAAAAGGCGATGCCAAATGACACCATTGGGACTACAATTTAAGGAGAAGACTATATGCTGTATCGTTGAAAGAAATAAAAAACCTTTAGCAACTTTTGTTGATTGGTTTCCACTGTATCGACTAGAGAGTATTGTTCTGGATATTGCTTTGAAATGTTTACCTAACCAGAAACTTACTCCACTAACTCAGAATGTTCTCGAGTTTAAAGTTTCCAAACAAGGGAATTGATGATTGATGCTTTAAACGTGAGTAACATTCTCATCCAAAAGTGTACTTAAAAGGTCCCACAATATTTCAAATTTCAGGAACCACTTATATTTTCAGTCGCCTTTTCGAAAACCTCATAATCTTAGTTATTGATTCATAAGAACGTGTTTGAGAACATGGACTTGGCAGCTCGTTTTGTAAATTCCATGACTGGTGGCTGCGAAGATTCACGCTACTGCTATCAAACCGTTGGTCATACAATCACAGGTGATCCCTCTGTTGTTGACATTAACAACCTTAAGAATGATTATTGATGTTCTAGAAGCGTATGCCAAATAATGGGCCAATACAGAGGAGTGAGTGAGTGAATATGGTTTTACGCCGCTTTTAGCAACATTCCAGCAATATCACGGTGGGGGACACCAGGAATGGGCTTCACACATTGTACCCATGTCGGGATGCGAAAACAACAGGCTTTGGCGTGTCGAGCGAACGCTTTATCCACTAGACTACCCGACCGCCCCCAAAAGAGAAGATGGTTAAGTCAATGCGTGATGTTGACAATTGTAGAATGCCCAGACTGAAAAAGAGGAAACAATTAGAATAAACCCATTCTGTCTCAGTCAGCTGTCATCCAAAGTCTGGCTGCCCAAGATGAACAGCTTACTGTTCTTCTCATTTGTCTCAAATGTTGTAAGTAAACATAGACGTAAATGCCAGAGAATAATCGGTTATCTGTCGAAACAGATTCCATTGGGGGCAACAGGCAAAATAGTGTCAATAATAGGAATCGATCACTGATAGCTAGTGATGACGCCAGGTGTTCGCAAAATGGGTGACCTGCTCTACCGGTGCACCTGCCACTCTCAGTCACTACATTGTTGGATTTGACAAAGGCTCGTGTAAGTGACATATCAAATGAGGCCACATATAAGGCCAGCATGCCAACTGAGGAAGAAATCTGACAAAAAACACCCATCAGTGTTATCAGCATGACACTAAAATCTGAAGACATGTCCATTCCTCTTTTGTAGTAAAAATCAAAGTTTCATACAAAACCGTGCGATGGAATGTATTCACAACAACTCTATCTCGAACATTAACCGTGAATATCAATACAACCATATGCGCATGAATCGAAATTTCTGCTTGTAACCTTCCTTACTATACTCGTTGGTTGTATCTCTAGATAGCTTATTTGCATTTCATATGAAAGCGTGAATCACATTTATTTCTATTTTTTATCAGAAAAGGTAACATCTCCAGTAAAGGGATTAAGGGACGTATGCCGTACCAACACACACTAAGTCACATCTCCAGGGAAAGATCTAAAGGCAGGTTCGTATCAAAACACGAATGTTATTTACTTTTAATCCAGGCACACTATGGCCACAACTCCAGGGAAAGATCTAAAGGCAAGTTCGTATCAAAACACGAATGTTATTTACTTTTAATCCATGCACACTATGGCCACACCTCAAGGGAAAAATCTAAAGGCAAGTTCGTATCAAAACACGAATGTTATTTACTTTTCATCCAGATACACTATGGCCACATCTCCGGTACAGGGGTCCACCTTCAGATCAGATATGTGTCGGCCTTGTTCGGCGATGATGATCTTGTAGCATCCCGCCGCGATGTTCTTGACAATAAGTCTTCCTTGATCATCACCGAAGTACAGTTTTGAATCTGCAAATATGGAAAACCTCACTTAACATTTCAAATATAAAGTGTACATTCACACAGAGGTGGTTGCTTTGTGTGCAACATGCATTGTGGAAATGTTCGAGATATGTGACCAGTAACTCACATACACCATGCTGATACCGTTCTCCCCGGGGTAGAATAGGTCTTCAGCAATCAATGCTTGCCGTAAAAGGCGCCTATGCTTGTCGAAAAAGGCGACTAGCGGGATCGGGTAGCCAGGCTCGCTGACATGGTTCATGCATGTCATCGAATCCCATTTGCGTGGATCGATGCTCAATATGTCGATCGCTGGATTCACTGATCCAGACTCGATTATTTACAGACCGCTGTCATAAAGCAGGGATATTGCTGAGCGCCGCGTTAATCAACAAACAAATAAACTGACGCTAACGCTTTAGCCGTCATTGCTTAAAAATAGAGACCGCCTCCGTGGTTCTGTGGAACGTAAGGTCCGAGGTTCGATCCCCGGCCGCGTCATACCAAAAGACGTTAAAGGATGGTACGTATTGTTACCCTGTCTCCCTCGGCATTAAGGGGCTAAAACAAGAACTGGTCGACTCGGAGTCAGTATACTGTGTAACGTCTTTACATCGTGTAAACATATCAAACTTCTTTACATCATGTAAATATATTAAACGACTTTACATCATGTAAATAGATTAAACTTCTTTACATCATGTAAATAGATTAAACGTCTTTACATCATGTAAATAGATTAAACTTCTTTACATCATGTAAATAGATTGAACGTCTTTACATCACGTAAATAGATTAAACTTCTTTACATCATGTGAATATATTAAACGTCTTTACATCATGTAAATAGATTCAACGTCTTTACATCATGTATATACATGAAACTTCTTAACATCATGTAAATAGATTAAACGTCTTTACATCATGTAAATATATTAAACGTCTTTACATCATGTAAATATTTTAAACGTCTTTACATCATGTATATACATGAAACTTCTTAACATCATGTAAATAGATTAAACTTCTTTACATCATGTAGATATATTTAACGTATTTACATCATGTAAATAGATTAAACTTCTTTACATCATGTAAATAGATTAAACTTCTTTACATCATGTAAATAGATTAAACTTCTTTACATCATGTAAATAGATTAAACGTCTTTACATCATGTATATACGTGAAACTTCTTAACATCATGTAAATATATTAAACGTCTTTAATTTACATCATGTAAATATTTTAAACGTCTTTACATCATGTAAATATTTTAAACGTCTTTACATCATTGATATACATGACAATTCTTAACATCATGTAAATAGATTAAACTTCTTTACATCATATAAATATATTAAACGTATTTACATCATGTGAATATATTAAACGTCTTTACATCATGTAAATAGATTAAACGTCTTTACATCATGTATATACATGAAACTTCTTAACATCATGTAAATAGATTTAACGTCTTTACATCATGTAAATATATTAAACGTCTTTACATCATGGAAATATTTTAAACGTCTTTACATCATGTATATACATGAAACTTCTTAACATCATGTAAATAGATTAAACTTCTTTACATCATGTAAATATATTAAACGTATTTACATCATGTAAATAGATTAAACTTCTTTACATCATGTAAATATATTAAACGACTTTACATCATGTAAATAGATTAAACTTCTTTACATCATGTAAAAAGATTAAACGTCTTTACATCACGTAAATAGATTAAACTTCTTTACATCATGTAAATAGATTAAACGTCTTTACATCACGTAAATAGATTAAACTTCTTTACATCATGTGAATATATTAAACGTCTTTACATCATGTAAATAGATTAAACGTCTTTATATCATGTATATACATGAAACTTCTTAACATCATGTAAATAGATTAAACGTCTTTACATCATGTAAATATATTAAACGTCTTTACATCATGTAAATATTTTAAACGTCTTTACATCATGTATATACATGAAACTTCTTAACATCATGTAAATATATTAAACGTCTTTACATCATGTAAATATTTTAAACGTCTTTACATCATGTAAATATATTAAACGTCTTTACATCATGAAAATATATAAAACGTCTTTACATCATGTATATACATTAAACTTCTTAACATTATGTAAATATATTAAACTTCTTTACATCATGTAAATAGATTAAACGTCTTTACATCATGTAAATATATTAAACGTCTTTACATCATGAAAATATATTAAACGTCTTTACATCATGTAAATAAATTCCTAAATACAGATGAATGCCATGCTATGCGGAAACAATAAGAAAAGATCAAATGTTACACTCACAGTCTGAGTTGAGGTCCAATGCAGTGACGTTGAAATATGGATAGTCGTAAAACAGACTGACATTACCGTCCAGTTCAATTGGGATTGAAAAGATCTGAGTTCCTGATGCTACTAAAACTGAATCGCTGAAATTTCAACACAGTCTTTAGTTAGACCTTAATTCCTTTCCCCATTGCATATTGGTTTGATTCAGCATATAAGCATGACGCTAATACATAATCACACCCGCCTGACTTTTGAAACTTAAAATAGCAACACGAGTCGATAAATGTTTAAAACTCCTGTAATTGCCAACCTGTTTTGTTACGAGTATTGAAATATTTTATATCAAAAGACATGAGATTATATGCGTTGTCCCAAATCATTTTGCCAACTTTACCCTTAAAGTCCACCCCAGTCATGAACCTAACTAGTATATGAATGACACAGAAGCCTTAAAGTCCACCCCAGTCATGAACCTAACTAGTATATGAATGACACAGAAGCCTTAAAGTCCACCCCAGTCATGAACCTAACGAGTATATGAATGACACTGAAGCCTTAAAGTCAACCCCAGTCATGAACCTAACTAGTATATGAATGACACTGAAGCCTTAAAGTCCACCCCAGTCATGAACCTCACTAGTATATGAATGACACAGAAGCCTTAAAGTCCACCCCAGTCATGAACCTCACTAGTATATGAATGACACTGAAGCCTTAAAGTCCACCCCAGTCATGAACCTCACTAGTATATGAATGACACTGAAGCCAAATATGTACAAAGACATAAGCATTACGTATGACCTACACAGTGATTGTACATGGAAAATGCATATTGATTATATTGCATGTAATGTTGTCCAATGGTTAATTATTTAAGAAGTTATAAATATCGTCTATCCCGAAATACCTTAGAAAATATGTAAAAATCATTTATTTTACCAATGTTTGATTATTGTTGTCATGTTTGCACTGATGTACAAGCTAATTTACTGGACAAATTAAACTTAGATGCTCTAAGAACTATATGTGGCGCTGTCCGAGTCACCAGAAAATGTACAATGAAACAAATAGTAAAAGACAGAAGATATAATTCATGATTGGTAACGTTTTTTTTTCAAAATGAATAATCATTTCCGAATATATTTGCAGGCTTAATTATATGTCAAGGGATAAAGCTAACAGTGAAGGTATTCCAGGGATTGGGTAAGGAATAGTGGCTACAAAGAGAGAGGTGTTCCAGGAGATGGGTAGAGAATAGTGGCTACACAGAGAGAGGTGTTCCAGGAGACGGGTAGGTAATAGTGGCTACAAAGAGAGAGGTGTTCCAGGAGACGGGTAGAAAAAGTGGCTACAAAGAGAGAGGTGTTCCAGGAGACGGGTAGGGAATAGTGGCTACATATAGAGAGAGGTGTTCCAGGAGACGGAAAGAGAATAGTGGCTAATATAGAGAGAGGTGTTCCAGGAAACGGAAGAGAATAGTGGCTACATATAGAGAGAGGTGTTCCAGGAGACGGGAAGAGAATAGTGGCTACATATAGAGAGAGATGTTTCAGGAAACGGAAGAGAATAGTGGCTACATATAGAGAGAGGTGTTCCAGGAGACGGGAAGAGAATAGTGGCTACATACAGGATGGTGTTCCAGGAGACGGGTCGGGAATAGCGAGAACACACACAAACACACACACTAACGCACACAAATACACACAAACACGTAAACATACACACACACTCACTTGCCAGGTGATGGGTAAAAGGTGTTTCGGGTGTAAGGGGTCTGTCGAGATTCCGGCGACGGTAGGAGAGTGAAGTCGCTCCCGTTCACTCTGTAGGTTCCAGGCTCATCGGTCCCTGAAGCTTCGGTCGTCAGTATAAACTGATCACTTTGACCACTATACGTGATACCTGTTGGTTGGAAGCCTGGAGGGAAATATAAACTTATATACTCGTCATAGATTGTTAAGAAATACAATTAATTTGACAATAATATGTTTATTTGTCGGGCTATTTGTAATAGTTTTGCTAAAAGTCTGTGGGGACATGGAGTTTATGGGTAACTGTATAGGAATTTCATGGAATTTTAATTTTGTCATCAAATATTATTGTCTGTGACAATTTATTTTTGATATTTGTGTTAGTTGTTCGTTTATATTTTACGAAACCTCTAAATTCGTAAAATATGTTAAAAATGTGTCACAATAAAGGGAGATAACCGCATATGAGGCACAACCAACAGTGAAGCATATGAAAGTAAAACGAGTGAAAGGCATATTGTATTTTTTTCTTCTAAATGGGTCTGTGTTGCTATAACATTCAGAATAACTTTTCATCAATTTAAATTTCTTTAAGACACTCTAGTCTTTGGTCATTTTCCTGGCTCAATGAAAACAGGATAAATCCGCATTTTTATCTCATTCAGCCGTTCTCAGCCTTTTGAATTTCATAGCGGTAGTTCACAGCTTGTTAATTATTTCAGGGAAGTTATTTTATTGGACATTTAATCTGATGAACAAAGAGTTTGCCGACGTGTTGCTTCAACGCATAAAAGGTGTTCTTGTTAGCACAAGAAGCAATTAATGAAATGGTGCTGCAACAAATAGGACGTTAAGCGAACAAGTAACTGCACGTGACAGAAAAAAATCACGGTACATGGATTAAGAAACAATTGATCAGATACACCCATCCTTGAAAAAAACATGTAAAATGTTCTTGAAGCACGTGTAACGAATCTCAATACGAGCATTCATTTGCTTTAAATACCGGCATTAAACAGAAGTCGACGTCAGCGCGATATGAGGAACTGAGGTGGCTCCAGACATAAAAAGGAATCTGGTCTTAAAGACCAGTGTCTGCATACTATCGACACCAGAGAAGGATTTGGTCATCGCAATTGGAGGGTCAACAGTTCGCAAATGTTCACATGCGATTCAAGACACTCCCAAGAATGTAACGACTGCAGGGCTGAGTTGGGAGGAACAACGCCGAGTGCTATGCCAAATGTACCACCACAGAACACGATCGTCTTGGAGGTTGAACGCTATGCCAACTGTACCACCACAGAACACGATCATCTTGGAGATGGAACGCTATGCCAACTGTACCACTACAGAACACGATCGTCTTGGAGGTTGAACTCTATGCCAACTGTACCACTACAGAACATGATCGTCTTTGAGGTGGAATCATATGCCAACTGTACCAATACAGAACATGATCGTCTTGGAGGTGGAATGCTATGCCAACTGTACCACTACAGAACATGATCGTCTTGGAGGTGGAATCATATGCCAACTGTACCAATACAGAACACGATCGTCTTGGAGGTGGAATGCTATGCCAACTGTACCAATACAGAACACGATCGTCTTGGAGTCGGAACGCTATGCCAACTGTACCACTACAGAACACGATCGTCTTGGAGGTGGAACGCTATGCCAACTGTACCAATACAGAACACGATCGCCTTGGAGGTGGAATCATATGCCAACTGTACCAATACAGAACATGATCGCCTTGGAGGTGGAACGCTATGCCAACTGTACCACTACGGAACACGATCGTCTTGGATGTGGAATCATATGCCAACTGTACCACTACAGAACATGATCGTCTTGGAGGTGGAACGCTATGCCAACTGTACCAATACAGAACACGATCGCCTTGGAGGTTGAACTCTATGCCAACTGTACCACTACAGAACATGATCGTCTTGGATGTGGAATCATATGCCAACTGTACCAATACAGAACACGATCGTCTTGGAGGTGGAATCATATGCCAACTGTACCAATACAGAACATGATCGTCTTGGAGGTGGAACGCTATGCCAACTGTACCAATACAGAACACGATCGCCTTGGAGGTTGAACTCTATGCCAACTGTACCACTACAGAACATGATCGTCTTGGATGTGGAATCATATGCCAACTGTACCAATACAGAACATGATCGTCTTGGAGGTGGAACGCTATGCCAACTGTACCAATACAGAACACGATCGCCTTGGAGGTTGAACTCTATGCCAACTGTACCACTACAGAACATGATCGTCTTGGATGTGGAATCATATGCCAACTGTACCAATACAAAACATGATCGTCTTGGAGGTGGAACGCTATGCCAACTGTACCACTACGGAGCACGATCGTCTTGGAGGTGGAATGCAATGCCAACTGTACCAATACAGAACACGATCATCTTGGAGGTGGAACGCTATGCCAACTGTACCACTACAGAACATGATCGTCTTGGATGTGGAATCATATGCCAACTGTACCACTACAGAACATGATCGTCTTGGAGGTGGAACGCTATGCCAACTGTACCAATACAGAACACGATCATCTTGGAGGTGGAACGCTATGCCAACTGTACCAATACAGAACACGATCATCTTGGAGGTGGAACGCTGTGCCAACTGTACCAATACAGAACACGATCATCTTGGAGGTGGAACGCTATGCCAACTGTACCAATACAGAACATGATCGTCTTGGATGTGGAATCATATGCCAACTGTACCAATACAGAACATGATCGTCTTGGATGTGGAATCATATGCCAACTGTACCAATACAGAACATGATCGTCTTGGAGGTGGAACGCTATGCCAACTGTACCAATACAGAACATGATCGTCTTGGATGTGGAATCATATGCCAACTGTACCAATACAGAACATGATCGTCTTGGAGGTGGAACGCTATGCCAACTGCACCACTACGGAGCACGATCGTCTTGGAGGTGGAATGCTATGCCAACTGTACCAATACAGCACACGATAGTCTTGGAGGTGGAACGCTATGCCAACTGTACCAATACAGAACACGATCGTCTTGGAGGTGGAACGCTATGCCAACTGTACCAATACAGAACACGATCATCTTGGAGGTGGAACGCTATGCCAACTGTACCAATACAGAACACGATCATCTTGGAGGTGGAACGCTGTGCCAACTGTACCAATACAGAACACGATCATCTTGGAGGTGGAACGCTATGCCAACTGTACCAATACAGAACACGATCGTCTTGGAGGTGGAACGCTATGCCAACTGTACCAATACAGAACACGATCGTCTTGGAGGTGGAACGCTATGCCAACTGTACCAATACAGAACACGATCGTCTTGGAGGTGGAACGCTATGCCAACTGTACCAATACAGAACACGATCATCTTGGAGGTGGAACGCTATGCCAACTGTACCAATACAGAACACGATCATCTTGAAGGTGGAACGCTATGCCAACTGTACCAATACAGAACACGATCATCTTGAAGGTGGAACGCTATGATAACTGTACCACTACAGAACACAATCGTCTTTATGGTGTGGGCTGGCTTCCAGGGTGCCTGAAGAACCGATCTGGTGACAGGATAGCATGACTGCCATAGTTTAAAAATATGAGATTACCACACATCGTCACTGATATCCTTCAGGCAAAAATATTACACACGTGGACAGCGAGATCATGGGACTTCAGTCCGAGTGAACATTCTTTGGAGATGTGTTTATGGTCGCCAAGGTCAGCCTCGGGATTAATGTGAACTGGCTTTACGGGCAGGAGAGCAGTATATTCTTCGGCATCAACGTAGTCGAGTCATTTGGTCAATGGCAACATTACGTAATCGTGTATGGATATCCAACAATGACTTTGTGAATTGATGAAGATGGGGTTTCAGAGTCGTACAAAAAGCACATTTTGCACGATGTGTTCAATGGTGTGTGTGTTTCTACCTGTCCTTCTCCATCATTGTTCCGTGTCTTTTGTGTCACTTTTCGTTGTTTTGCACACAACTCATAATTTGCTTTTACATTAATCTCTTACTTGGACAATCAATCATGTTGCCCAACTTTCTCTTAGGAGTACATCTTAAACGTTAGACACTACCATTCACATTCACACACATTCACCTTGCCCTTCTATGTTAAAGAGACACTGGCATTCATTCACATTCACTTCTTACTCGCATGTTAAGAAGGCACTATTGGTGTGTTTATTATTATTTACAGTTTGAGATAGAAAATACAGCAAAGAGGGTTTTTGTGATCCTGAAACAGTCAGGCTGGTTAGGTCATCATCAGCTCAGGGTCCTTGTCCCCTCTACACGCAGCCTAGACAGCGAATGGGACTTCTTTCAGGAAGCGCTGCCTCATCGAACCCACCCAAAACCTTTCGGAGAATATGAAACTCCCCAACACTGCAGCCTCCTGCATTAGCCAGATTGTCAGAAGGGCTGTATTCCTGGTAGCAAACCCGGGTACTCTCCTTATGTCAGTCAACAGATTAGGAGGTACCAAACCTAAGGCACAGAGAACAATGGGGAGTTGGACAGCTTGGACTGAAGTCTACAAAGCGATCTTAACCCCAAGACGATCATAACTCCCACACTTGAACATAGCCACATGACAATCGGTGCGCTAAGACTTGTGCTCGCTTTCAAAAGCCAATTTCGATGCTTCCATTCCTCTAAATCCTGAAGATCTCGGGCTTAGCCTTCTGTTGCAATCTCTACCACAATCTCAAAGCGATTGTATTTTGGACGCTTGTAAACTAATCAAAACTTACAATTGGTCCAGGTCAAACTAAGTTGGTAAGATCATTATAGTAACTGCATAGACTTGACGAAATGGCATGCAATAATAGGGTTTGTTATCTACTTTACAGTCATTATCATTTTATTTTCTCGAACTGTGTGATTATATTCAAAAGGCGGCATCATTTTGACGTAATTGTAGAGCGCACCTGATGGATAGGTCGTCAGTTCCACCTCTTCCCCATCACAGTTCCTGGTGATGATCTTGGTCTCCCCACTGTCATGAGCGGTGAAATAGGTCACGTTGCCGTCGACTCCGACGATGCCTCCAGCATTGACTATGGATTCAATACTAAGGGTCGTGTTGAAACGGTTAAGAGCAACCAGCTTCGAGTCTACTGCCACTATGAAGGAGCAATCTGCAAAACGATATCTATTTTATGCATTTTGACATAATTAAATATTTACTGTGCTATTCGCTTCAATGAAGTTTGCATGACTTAGACATTACAAATCACGAAACTCCGTTACAGGAAATAGTATTTGAGTGGAAGAAAGAACTGAACTGCTCTTTCCACTGAGTCAGGCAATGTACGGAACATAATTATGTTACACGCGTCATACATTTAGACACTGTTTACGTGCCCGTGGAGAGTCGGGTTAGAATTGGTCTTCAGTGACCCAGAATTGACCCCGTCGGGGAATATTTGGATTAGAATTTGTTCTCAGCAACACAATAAATGGCTGCCAGGAAAGTATTCAAAACTGCTTCCAAGTAGAGTACCTTTGCAATCTGTATCCGACAGGTTTTTCAATACTTGGAGTTGGTCCAGCAGATCGTCGAATAACAGGTTGATGATCTGAGCTTGACACTCAAAGCATGCTTCTTCCGCCACATTGTCAGAGGATGTGACATTGTCACAACCTGAAAGATATTGAATTGAAAACAACTTAATTTTAAAAAATGAAAACAATTTGAATGTTAATTGAAATGAGATGCATGGATAGTTTAATGACTGTTTAATATGTTTCTTCACAATAGTACTGTGCCGATTGGCTTCTTGGGCTGTTTATTGGAAGTTCCTTTCCTCAGTCATGTAATGTCATCACTACAAAGTACATCAATCTTATTGATAACAACTTATTTTATTTCTGTAATGGCGACGTTTCGGTATAGATCCTTGATCCTTGAACACCCTGATCCTGAACACCCTCATCTGAACACCTGATCCTGGACACTTTCATCTGAACACCTCATCCTGGACACCCTAATCTGAACACCTCATCCTAGACACTTTCATCTGAACACCTGATCCTGGACACCCTCATCTGAACACCTGATCCTGGACACCCTCATCTGAACACCTCATCCTGGACACTTTCATCTGAACACCTCATCCTGGACACCTTCATCTGAACACCTCATCCCGGACACCCTAATCTGAACACCTCATCCTGGACACCCTCATCTGAACACCTGATCCTGGACACCCACATCTGAACACCTCATCCTGGACACTTTAATCTGAACACCTCATCCTGGACACCTTCATCTGAACACCTCATCCTGGACACCCTAATCTGAACACCTCATCCTGGACACTTTAATCCGAACACCTCATCCTGGACACTTTAATCTGAACACCTCATCCTGGACACCCTAATCTGAACACCTCATCATGGACACCCTCATCTGAACACCTGATCCTGGACACCCACATCTGAACACCTCATCCTGGACACTTTAATCTGAACACCTCATCCTGGACACCTTCATCTGAACACCTCATCCTGGACACCCTCATCTGAACACCTCATCCTGGACACTTTAATCTGAACACCTCATCCTGGACACTTTAATCTGAACACCTCATCCTGGACACTTTCATCTGAACACCTCATCCTGGACACCCTCATCTGAACACCTCATCCTGGACACCCTCATCTGAACACCTCATCCTGGACACCCTAATCTGAACACCTCATCCTGGACACCCTCATCTGCACACCTGATCCTGGACACCCACATCTGAACACCTCATCCTGGACACTTTAATCTGAACACCTGATCCTGGACACTTTCATCTGAACACCTCATCCTGGACACTTTCATCTGAACACCTCATCCTGGACACCCTGATGAGATTGAACTTGAACTGAATCAACACATGGAACATTTCTTTCGAAGTAAAAATGCTGTAACTGGTCTCTGTGTTATCAAATAGATAATCTGCTGGTGAACTGTCAAAGACTTGGTTTGATTGTTTGCTGTTTAATTGTCGCACGCAGCAATATTCCGTCATGTATGTGTTTGTGACGGGTGCCACCGGTGGGACTAGATACGCTCACCTTCTCGCGAACACCTGGCATCACCACTATTTTATACCCATAAACACATGCTCGCGATATAGTGAAAATCGTTCAATGGACTCTGCCTTGTGCAGAGGTTACTAGTGGATATGGAAAGGGCTTCGTCGCTTTATTTACATCCCTCAGTGGCCCTAATTGTGTCTGGGTTTGTCATCAGCATATCCCCGCTCGCTGATTTCACCAAAGTGGCAAAAATCTCAGATCTGCATCACTGGAAAGCAGCATAAAATCCAACCAACCCTTCCCTCGTTACACACACGCGGTATGCATTCCGGGGACGTGTTGCGGACGACTTCACTCTCATCAGACACCAAGTGTATTAGTGTCATCGACTTAGTTTGTCTAGGTTTTAACTACTTATTTTTCATCAGAGGACCCTGTGGGGGTCTATTACGGCACATTTTGTCGCCGGGCATACATTGTATATGCCGATATATGCTGGGGGCGACGATATATGCCGGGGATGCAATGATGTTAAAGGCCAGAGATATGATGGGTTTTTAGATTACTCAGGATATTGTTAATACGGACACAAAAAAGATGCTTTACATGATCATTTCACTCACTCTGAGTTTACGGTTATTAGATGTAATTGTCACTTCTATAAGTATGAGTGCGTGCCTGAGCTTCATTATAATGTTACAAAGTTAGTCAGCCTATGATCTGAGACCATGCATGGACGTTTTGGGCGTTTATAACAAGTACCTGTATGTCACTCAAAAGTTGTATGGATGTTGAAAAAAGGTTGTGTAGAAGTTGTACGGAGGTGGTATCGAGGTTGCATTGAGGATGTGTAGAAGTTCTACGGAGGTGGTATGGAGGTAGTATGGAGGTTGCTTGGAGGTTGTATGAAGGTTGTGTGGAGGTTGTATGTAAGTTGCATGGAGGGTGTATGGATGTTATATGGAGGTTGCGTAGAAGTTGTACGGAGGTTGTATGGAGGTTGTGTAGAGGTTGTATGGAAGTTGCATGGAGGTTGTATGGAGGTTGCATGGAGGTTGCGTGGAGATTGTAAGGAGGTTGTATATAGGTTACATGGAGGTTGTGAAGACGTTTTTGGAAGTTGTATGGAGGTTGCATGGAGATTGTATGGGGGTTGTATGGAGGTTGCATGGAGATTGTATGGGGATTGTACGGAGGTTGAATTGAGGTTGTATAGAGATAGCATGGAGGTTGTAAGGAGGTTGCGAAGAGGTAGTATGGAAGTTCAATGGAGGTTGCATGGAGGTTTTATGAAGGTTACAAGGAGGTTGGATGGAGGTTGTTTTGAAGTTGCATGTAAGTTGTATGGTGTGTGAGTGAGTGAGTTGGGTTTAACGCCGCTTTTTACAGTATTCCAGTTATATCACTGCGTGTCAGCTTAATGTGGGAGGAAAGCCCGAAGTGATGCAGGTCTCAGACGTTTACCACTTCGGTGAAACCCACGAGCACGGGTATGGTGCTGACAAATCTAGAAACATAATCGGGGCAAACCGGGATTCGAACCCACAATCATAAGTTTCTGGGACGCAATCTGCACAGCGAATCGCGACGCCTCAGACGACTGGGCCACCCGTGCCTCCCTCAGGTTGCATGGAGGTTGTGTAGAGGTTTATGGAAGTTGTATGAAAGTTGTATTGAGGTTGTGTAGAAGTTGTATGAAGGTTGTATGGAGGTTGTATGAAGGTTGCGTGGAGGTTGTATGGAGGTTGCGTGGAGGTAGTATGGAAGTTCAATGGAAGTTCTATGGAGGCTGCATGGACGTTTTGTAGAAGTGGTATGGAGGTTCCATAGAGGTTGCATGGAGATTGTATGGAGGTTGTATGAAGGTTGTGAAGAGGTTGTATGAATGTTTTATGGAGGTTGTGTAGAAGTTGTATGGAGGTTGCATTTAGGTGCATGGGTGTTGTATTGAGGTTGTGAAGAGGTTGCATGCGGGTTGAATGGAGGGTGCATGGATGTTGTATGGAGGTTGCATGGGTGTTCCATGGAGGTTGCATTGAGGTTGTATAGAGATTGGATGGAGGTTGTATAGTGGTTGTATGGAGGTTGCATGAAGGTTGCATGGAGTTTGTATTGAGGTTGCATTGAGTTTGTATGGAGGTTGCATTTGGGTTACATGGAGGTTGTATGGAGGTGTCATATGGTTGTAAGGAGGTTGTATTGAAGTAGTGTTCAGTTTGTATGGAAGTTGCATGGAGATTGCATGGGGGTTGTATTGAGGTTGTCTGGAGGTTGTATGGAGGTTCCATATTTTTTTAGGAGGTTGTATGAAAGTTGAATGGAGGTTGCGTGGAGGTTGCATGGAGGTTATGTTAAGGTTGTATTAATGTTGTCTGGAGGTTGTATGGAGGTTCCCTACTTTTTAGGAGGTCGTATGGAGGTTGCATGGATATTGCATCGGGGTTGCATGGAGGTTGTGTAGAGGTTGCATGGAGGTTCTCTCTAGCTTGTATGGAGGTTGTTGTATTGAGATAGTGTTCAGTTTGTATGGATGTTGCATCGAGGTTGCATAGAGGTTAATTTGAGAATGTATGTAAGGTGCATGTATGTTGTATTGGGGTTTCATGGAGGTTGCATGGATGCTACATGCAGTTTGTATGAAGGTAGTATGTAGTTTGTGTAGAGGTTATATGGATGTTGTATTGGGGTTGCATGGAGGTTGCATGGATGCTGCATGTAGTCTGTATGAAGGTTGTATGGAGGTTGCATAGATGTTGTATTGAGCTGGTATGGAGGTTGTTTGGTGGTTGTATGGAGGTTATATGGAGGCTGTGTAGAGGTTGTATTGAGCTTGTATGGTGATTGTGTGGAGGTTGAATTGAGGTTGAATGAAGATTGTGTAGAGGTTTATGGAGGTTGTACGGAGGTTGCATTGCGGTTGCATGAAGGTTGTATGGTGTTTGTATGGAGGTTGTTTGGAGGTTGCATGGGGGTTGCATGGGGGTTGTGTAGAGGTTTATGGAGGTTGTATGGACGTTGATAGGGGGACTCCATAGAGGTTGCGTTGCGTTGCGTTGCGTTGTGTAGAGGTTTTTTGGAGGTTGTATGGAGGTTCTTTGGAGTTTGCTTTGAGGTTGTAATGAGGTTGGATGGAATGGATGATGCATGGATGTTGCATGGATGCTGCCTGGAGGTTGTATTGAAGTTGTGTAGAGGTTGTATGGAGGTTGTATGGAAGTTGTGTAGAGGTTGTATGGAGGTTGTATGGAGGTTGTATTGAAGTTGTGTAGAGGTTGTATGGAGGTTGTATGGAAGTTGTGTAGAGGTTGTATGGAGGTTGTATGGAAGTTGTGTAGAGGTTGTATGGAGGTTGTATGGAGGTTGCATGGAGGTTGTATGAAGGTTGTAAGCAAGTTGTGGAGAGGCTGTATGGAAGTTGCACAGAGGTTGTATGAAGGTTCTGTTAAGGATGCATCGAGGTTGTTTTAAGGTTGTGTTCAGGTTGTATTGACGTTAAATTGATGTTGTATGGAGGTTATATGGAGGTTGCATGGAGGTTTTATTGAGGTTGTATGGAGGTTGTAATGAGATTGTGTAGAGGTTGTTTGGAGATTAAATGGACGTTGTATGGAG